CCATAATCAATAATAAGAAAAATAAGACAATGGAGCAATGGACTCAAATGGCAGGAAGAGCGATCCCACCTCAACATGAGGAAGAATGCAATAATAACAATAATAACCTATATAAATAAAAATGTAATGTTCATTTGTGGGATTAACAGAACTCAAAAACCGCTGGATAAATTGACACCAAATTTGGACAAAAGACACCTATCAGGCCAACAAGTGACCATAAAAACATTGAAAAACACAGCAGAAGGGACTTAAAAAGCAAAAACAAAAATACATTACAACGCACGCGCAAAACCACATATATATACACATCACATATATATACACATATATGCATATGCACACACAAAACACATACACAGAAAGGAGGAAGGAAGGAAGGAGAGAAGGAGGGAGAGAAGGAGAGAAGGAAAGAAAGAAGGGTAGAGAAGGAAGGAGGGAGAGAAGGAGGGAGAGAAGAAGGGAAAGAAGGAGGGAAGGAGAGAAAGAAGGAAGGAAAGAAAGGTAGAGAAGGAAGGAGGGAGAGAAAGAGGGAAATAAGAAGGGAAAGAAGGAGGGAAAGAGAGAAGGAAGGAAAAAAAGGGTAGAGAAGGAAGGAAGGAGAGAAGGAGGGAGAGAAAGAGGGAAGGAGAGAAGGAAGGAAAGAAAGAAGGGTAGAGAAGGAAGGAAGGAGGGAAGGAGGGAAGGAGATAAAGAAGGAAAGAAAGAAGGGTAGAGAAGGAAGGAAGGAGAGAAGGAGGGAGAGAAAGAGGGAAAGAAGGAAGGAAGGAGAGAAGGAAGGAAAAAAGGGTAGAGAAGAAAGGAGGGAGAGAAAGAGAGAAGGAAGGGGAAAAAAGAAGGGTAGAGAAGGAAGGAGGGAGAGAAGGAAGGAAAGAAAGAAAGCTAGAGCAGGAAGGAAGGAGAGAAGAAGGGAAGGAGATAAAAAAGGAAAGAAAGAAGGGTAGAGAAGAAAGGAAGGAGAGGAGGGGGAGAAAGAGGGGGAGAAAGAGGGAAGGAGAGAAGGAAAGAAAGGAAGAGAAGGAAGGAGAGGAGGAGGGAGAGAAAGAGGGAAAGAAGGAGGGAAGGAGAGAAAAAAAGGAAAGAAAGAACGGTAGAGAAGGAAGGAAGGAGAGAAGGAGGGAGAACATGAAAGAGAGAAAGAGGGAGGGAAGGAAAGAAGCAAAGAGACAAGGAAGGATGGAACCAAAGAGCAAAGGAAGTGAGAAAAGAAACAGGTACAGAAGGAAGAAAGAAGAAAGGAAAGAAAAAGAGGGAAGGAAGGAAAGAGGGAGGGAAGGAGAGAAAGAAAGGAGAGAAATAGGGAGGGAAGGTTGGCCACAGCAACGCGTGGCGGGTACAGCTTATAATATTATATTACATGTACATACAATACCATTATATTATATATTATATTATATTATACTCACTAAACCCCATTTTCCAGCCTCCAACAGACCTTCCTGCCTCTGGATGCCTGCCACAGATGCAGGCGAAACATCAGGAGAGAATGCTTCTGGAACATGGCCCTACAGCCCGGAAAGCTCACAACAACCCAGTGATTCTGGCCATGAAAGCCTTCGACAATACAATATTCAGACTGCAATATTTTCCATGCAAACAAAGATACGGACTTGAAATTTTGACCAAGTGTTGTGCTTGTGCTGGACAGAATACTGCCAAGTTTGCAACTGTCCAGCATCTAAAGCCACCCTGCAGGATCTCTTCCATTGACGCAAGTCAAAGTATGTTATATATCACATTGAAACCAGCATCCCCATCACCATAGGGGCCAACACCCGATAGCCATGCAGTAACTACCAGGACCATGAGGATGCATAAAACATAAATGCACAAAATATAACATACTTTGGGCCCCCTTGTGGCACAGCAGGTGAAACCACTCAGCTGCTGAACTTGCTGACCGAAAGGTTGGTGGTTTGAATCCAGGGAGTGGGGTGAGCTCCTGCTGTTAGCTCCAGCTTCTGCCAACCGAGCAGTTCGAAAACATGCAAATCATAGAATTATAGAATCATAAAGTTGGAAGAGACCTCATGGGCCATCCAGTCCAACCCCTGCCAAGAAGCAGGAATATTGCATTCAAAGCACCCCTGACAGATGGCCATCCAGCCTCTGTTTAAAAGCTTCCAAAGAAGGAGCCTCCACCACACTCCGGGGCAGAGAGTTCCACTGCTGAATGGCTCTCACAGTCAGGAAGCTCTTCCTCATGTTCAGATGGAATCATCATCATCATCATCATGCTTGGTCAAAATCTCAAGTCTGTAACTTCGTTGGCATGGAAAGGGTTGCAATCTAAATATTGGACTACCCTTCAGATAAAGGGGTCTAGATTAGCAGCTCTTGCAGTGAGAGATCCCACATTTTGGGAAACTTAGTTTAACACCTAACTGGCACTACAATTGCATTACATGGTGGCGGGAAGGTTTAGACCAGTGTTTCTCCACCTTCCTAATGCCGCAACCCCTGAATACAGTTCCTTATGTTGCGGTGACCCCCAACCATAACCTTATTTTCGTTGCTACTTCATAACTGTCATTTTGCTCCTGTTATGAATCGTTATGTCAGTATCTGATATGCAGGATGTATTTTCATTCACTAGACCACATTTGGCACAAATACCCGATACGTTCAATTTTGAATACTTGTGGGGTTGGGGGAATTGATTTTTATCATTTGGGAATTGTAGCTGCAGGGATTTATAGTTCACCTACAATCAACTTGGCACGAATCCTCAATATACCCAAATATTAACACTGGGGGAGTTTGGGGAAAATAGACCTTGACATTTGGGAGTTGTAGTTGCTGGGATTTATAGTTTACCTACAACCGAAGAGCATTCTGAACTCCACCAACGATGGAAATGAATCAAACTTGGCACAAAGAAACCCCATGACCAACAGAAAACACTAGAAGGGGTTGGTGGGCGTTGGCCTTGAGTTTGGGAGTTGTAATTCACCTACATTTATAGTTCACCTACAATCAAAGAGCATTCTGAACTCCACCAATGATGGAATTGAACCAAACTTGCCACACAGAATTCCCATGACCATCAGCAAATACTGGGAGGGTTTGGTAAGCACTGACCTTGAGTTTGGGAATTGTAGTTCACCTACATCCAGAGAGCACTATGGACTCAAACAACGATGGGTCTGGGACAAACTTGGCACAAATATTCAATGTGCCCAGATGTGAACATTGGTGGAGTTTGGGGAAAATAGACCTTGACATTTGGAAGTTGTAGTTGCTGTGATTTATAGTTCACCTACAATCAAAGAGCATTCTGAACTCCCACCAACGATGGAATTGAATCAAACTTGCCACACAGAACCCCCATGACCAACAGCAAATACTGGGAGGGTTTGGTAAGTACTGATCTTGAGTTTTGGAGTTGTAGTTCACCTACATCCAGGAGTCAAACAATGATGGGTCTGGGCCAAACTTGGCACAAATACTCAATGTGCCCAGATGTGAACATTGGTGGAGTTTGGGGAAAATAGACCATGACATTTGGGAGTTGTAGTTGCAGGGATTTATAGTTCACCTACAATCAAAGAGCATTCTGAACCCCACCAACAATAGAATTGGACCAAACTTGGGACACAGCACCCCCATGACCAAAAGAAAATACTGGGTCTTTGGCGACTCCTCTGACACCCCCTCCAGACTCCCAGGTTGAGAAACACTGATTGAGAGCACTTGGCATGGAATGTCCCACCATCTCCCTCCCTGCCCTGTGAATCCATGGCTCCGAAAGGTCAGCACTAAGCCCCCCTGGAGGGGCCAATGCCCCCGGGGCCCAGCTAAGCGCCTCCTCATCCCTTTTGGCTCATGACTTCATCTGGAAAGCTGGGCACCCAACCGTTGGTCAGTTCCCCTCCCCTCCTTCTTTCCTCTCTCCGTGCAGAAGAGGAAATTGGTCATCATCACTGTATTAATAAGAGTCACGGCTCAGATAGGAAGCTGGAAAAGTCGAGCATTCTCTGCACTTGTGTCATGTCCGGCTGGGCACAACGCAACCCTCAGAAGCCCAGGATTGTTGTGGCCGAGAGACTCATGGCATCAGAAAATAATAATAATAATAATAATAATAATAATAATAATAATAATAGAAAATAATATTAATAATAATGGATTCCAGCCAGTCCAAACCCCTTCTGGCCAGGCAAGGAGACACAATCAAAGCCCTCCCAACAGATGGCCATCCAGTCCAACCCCCCTCTAGTTAGATAGATATATAAATAGGATTGACAGATGGACAGACAGACAGAATGGACGGAAAGAATCATAGAGTTGGAAGAGACCTTAAGGGCCATCCAATCCAACCCCATTTTTACCAGGTGGGAAGACACCATTCAATCCCTCCCAACAGATGGCCATCCAGTCCAACCCCCTCTAGACAGACAGACAGATAAATAGACTGACAGGCAGGCAGGCAGATGGGTAGAATCCTAGAGTTGGAAGTGACTCCCAAAGGCCATCTAGACCAACCCCCTTGTATGGATGGATGGATAGATAGATAGATAGATAGATAGATAGACTCTTAGTTGGAAGAGACCCCCAAAGGCCTTCTAGACCTACTCTTAGAGTTGGAAGAGACTCCCAAAGGCCATCTAGACCAACCCCCTTGTATGGATAGATAGATAGACTCTTAAGAGTTGGAAGAGACTCCCAAAGGCCATCTAGATGAATCCCCTTGTATAGATAGATAGACTCTTAGGGTTGGAAAAGACTCCCAAAGGCCATCTAGACCAACCCCCTTGTATGGATAGATAGATAGACTCTTAGAGTTGGAAGAGATTCCCAAAGGCCATTCAGTCCAACCCTGTTGGGTGGGTGGATGGGTAGATAGCTAGATGGACAGAATCCTAGAGTTGGAAGCGACTCCAAGGTACATCCAGTCCAATTCCAGTCTTCTACAGACACAACTGAAGCCCTCCCGATAGATGGCCACCCCACCTCTGATGCTGGCTCCGCTCAGGCCAACCCCACTGGTGACCCCTGACCTGTTTGCACTTGTCCTCGGCGGCCTTTTTGTCGGCCTCAGCCTGCTCGGCCCGGTCGATGGCGTTCTCCTTGTCCAGCTTCAGCATCTGCATCTTCTTCTTGATGGCCTCCATGGTCGGAACGTAAGCCTGATGCCGGCGAGCGAGCGAGAGGGTCGGCAGGGGAAGTCAGCCCAAATGAGCGTGTCTGCAAAGCAGGACACATTGTCAGGCAGGACCCTTTTAAGCCCCAGTCCTTGGCAGCTCGCCTCCCCTCCAGAGATAAGCCGGAGCCCCCAGGAATCCAGCCCGCTGCTCGGCCAGGCCTTATTTGGGGCTTGGCTTTATCTTTGGGGGGAAGAAAAAGGCGCTGCTTCCATTTTTAACTTCAGGGCAGGAGCAAAAGGTGGATGCCTGAGTGGAGAGACAACGCTGGCAAAAGCCATTGTTTTGCGGGGGGTGGGGGGTGGGGTGGGGTGGGGGTTGAATCCAAGTCCTATTGGGCAGCACAGTGATCCCGAGGGACCCAAAGGGCACAAGATGCTCCTTCTTCCCAAAGCTTGACGATTGAGATAGCCAGAGCCAACAAGTTCCTATAATTACCCAGGAACCTATTATTATTATCTATACACATGATCCAAGTGAAAATATGTTTGTGTGTGTGTGTGGCTGGGGCATCCACTTATGCCAGTGGTTCTCAACCTGGGGGTTGGGACCCCTGGGGGGTGTCAGAGGGGTTGCCAAAGACAATCTGAAAACACAGTATTCTCTGTTGGTCATGGGTTTTCTGTGTGCCAAGTTTGGTTCAATTCCATCATTGGTGGAGTTCAGAATGCTTTTTGATTGTAGGCGAATTATAAATCCCAGCAACTACAACTCCCCACTGGTAACTGTGCTCCATGCAGTCATGCCGTGGAGGTGTTTATGGCTCTTCGGCTTAGAAATGGAGATGAGCACCACGCCCCAGAGTTGGACACGACTGGACTTCATGTCACGGGAAAACCTTTACTTTTTACCTACAACTCCCAAATGTCAAGGTCTATTTTCCCCAAACTCCACCAATGTTCACATTTGGGCATATTGAGGATCTGTGCCAAGTTTGGTCCAGATCCATCATTGTTTGAGTTCACAGGGCTCTCTGGATGTAGGTGAACTACAACTCCCAAATTCAAGGCCAATGCACACCAACCCCTTCTAGTGTTTTCTGTTGGTCATAAGGTTTCTGTGTGCCAAGTTTGGTTCAATTCCATAATTGGTGGAGTTCAGAATGCTTTTTGATTGTAGGTGAACTATAAATCCCAGCAACTACAACTCCCAAATGTCAAGGTCTATTTTCCCCAAACTCCCCCAGTGTTACCATTTGGGCATATTGAGGATTCGTGCCAAGTTTGGTCCAGATCCATCATTGTTTGAGCTCTCTGGATGTAGGTGAACTACAACTCCCAAACTCAAGGCCAATGCCCACCAAAGCCTTCTAGTGTTTTCTCTTGGTCATGGGGTTTCTGTGTGCCTAGTTTGGTTCAATTCCATCATTGGTGGAGTTCAGAATGCTCTTTGGTTGTAGGTGAACTATAAATCCCAGCAACTACAATTCCCCACTGGTAACTGTGCTCCATGCAGTCATGCCGTGGAGGTGTCTACGGACAACGACAGCTCTTTGGCTTACAAATGGAGATGAGCACCACACCCCAGAGTCGGACACGACTGGACTTCATGTCAGGGGAAAACCTTTACTTTTACCTACAACTCCCAAATGTCAAGGTCTATTTTCCCCAAAATCCACTAATGTTCACATCTGAATCCCCCCTAGGTGGTTGAGAAGGGCGGGGTAGAAATGCTCAAAATGATAATAAATAATAATAATATTGAGGATCTGTGCCAAGTTTGGTCCAGATCCATCGTTTGAGCTCTCTGGATGTAGGTGAACTACAACTCCCAAACTCAAGGTCAATGCACACCGACCCCTTTTAGTGTTTTCTGTTCGTCATGGGGTTTCTGTGTGCCAAGTTTGGTTCAATTCCATCATTGGTGGAGTTCAGAATGCTTTTTGATTGTAGGTGAACTATAAATCCCAGCAACTACAACTCCCAAATGTCATAGTCTATTTTCCCCAAACTCTACCAGTGTTCACATTTGGGCATATTGAGGATTCATGTAGAGTTTGGTCCAGATCATCATTGTTTGAGTCCACAGGGCTCTCTGGATGTAGGTGAACTACAACTCCCAAACTCAAGGTGAATACACACCAAACCCTTCTAGTGTTTCTGTTGGTCATGGGATTTCTGTGTGCCAAGTTTGGTTCAATTCCATCGTTGGTGGAGTTCAGAATGCTCTTTGGTTGTAGGTGAACTATAAATCCCAGCAACTACAACTCCCAAATGACAGAATCAACCCCCCAACCTCACCAGTATTCAAATGTGGCGTATCAGGTATTTGTGCCAAATGTGGTCCAGTGAATGAAAATACATCCTGCATATTTTCAATTTTAATCTATTACATTTGGCCCGGCCATTTTTAAAATTGTTTATGTCACTATTGATTGTTTTTTGTTTATGTGATTTATATGATTTGTATTTTATTGATTGTTTATTGATGTTGTGTTTATTGATGTTTTGTTTGATGTACTTTGGACTTGGCCTCATGTAAGCCGCACCGAGTCCCTTGGGGAGATGGTAGCGGAGTACAAATAAAGATTATTATTATTATTATTATCATCATCATCATCATCATCATCATCAGATATTTACATGACAATTCATAACAGTAGCAAAATTATGAAGTAGCAATGAAAATAATGTTATGGTTGGGAGTCACCACAGCATGAGGAACTGTATTAAGGGGTCACGGCATTCGAAAGATTGAGAAACACTGACGTACACAGACAAGTTCCTGCCTCCACAAACAGCTCCAGCTCCCACTGCTCAGGAGACATTAATGGCCCTCGCTACAATGATATTTCAGGTTATAGCGAGCACCGGGAACATGTCCAAGAGCCCTGCCAATGTCCTCCACAAACACCATACTGCCCACCACCCAAGTGAAGGCTGTCATTCAAGGACAATTTCATCCTAGAGTTTATGTGATACTGTTTTTATACTCATGTAGTTTATGCGATATACTACACGTAGCGCCTTGTAAGCTGCCCCGAGTCCCTTTTGGGAGATGGTGGCGGGATATAAATAAAGTTTATTATTGTTGTTGTTGTTGTTGTTGACTTATATCCAGAGCACTGTGAACCCAAACAATGATGGATCTGCACCAAATTTGGCATGCATACTCGATATGCCAACATTTGAAACCTGGTGGGCTTAGGGTAGATTTGGCCTTGACATTTGTTAGTTGTAGGTACTGGGATTTATAGTTCACCTGCAATCAAAGAGCGCTCTGCACTCCACCAATGATGGACCTGGACCTAACATGGCACACAAAACTCCCACGACCAACTGAACGTATTGGAGGGATTTGGTGGACTGACCCACCAAGGTGGGAGTTGTAATTCATCCTGCAGCCAGCGAGCACACTTACTTACTTACTTAGGCAATCCCTCGTTGACCGAGTAAGATTGTCCTCCAAGTGCGGTGTCTTGGCGGTGGGTACGTAGTGCATGAGTTTCAGAGCACACTGAACCCCACTAATGAATCATCTACAGCAAACTTGCCCAACATCACAAACTTTAAGTATTGATGGCGTTTCAGGGAGTTGACCTGACATGATGGGACTTGTAGTTCACTTACAACCTTATGCATTTTGTAAAATAAACAAATGACTTCTTCTAATAACCCCGGGCAACATCAGGGACCCAAGCTAGTAATTAATAATAATAACTTATTATTATAATTGATTATTAAATGAATATTAATAATTTATGATTAACTTATAAGTTATTAAATAATTAATAATTAAATAATAAGCTATATTTTACCTTGTTCACATCAGCATATTTTCAATTTTAATCTATTACATTTGGCCCAGGCATTATTAAAATTGTTTATGTCACTATTGATTGTTTTTTGTTTATGTGATTTATATGATTTGTATTTAATTGATTGTTTATTGATGTTGTGTTTATTGATGTTTTGTTTGATGTACTTTGGGCTTGGCCTCATGTAAGCCACACCGAGTCCCTTGGGGAGATGGTAGCGGGATACAAATAAAGTTTATTATTATTATTATTAAATACTAAATAATAAATAAATATTCATTATTACAAATTAAAACTTATTATAAGGAGCCCCGGATGGCGCAATGTATTAAACCCTTGTGCCAGCAGGACTGCTAACCAATAGGCCAGTGGTTCGAATCTGGGGAGCGGGGTGAGCTCCCGTGCATCAGCTCCAGCTTCTCACGCAGGGACATGAGAGAAGCCTCTCACAGAATAGTAAAACATCGCGGTGTCCCCTGGGCAACATCCAATTCACTCACACCAGAAGCGACTTGCAGTTTCTCAAGTTGCCCCTGACATGAAAAAAAACTTATGTTTATTAACTTATTATTGTAATTTATTATTTTATCAATATTATGCATTATTTTATTAACATTATTAATAGCATAATATATAGTTAATAACTTATTATTATGAATAATAACAGTATTATTATGTATAGTAATAATAACATTATTATTATTATTATTATTATTATTATTATTTTAATAACACCTACCTTCACTACCAGGAAGGTAGCCATAGGGAGTCCACCAGAGTCTTCTTCTCGGTAGGTTTGGATGGCCATCTGTCAGGAGGGATTGAATGGTGTCTTCCTGCCTGCTAGAAAAAAAAAGGGGTCAGACCGGATGGTCCTTGGGGTCTCTTCCAACTCTAGGATACTATCTATCTATCTATCTATCTATCTATCTATCTATCTATCTATCTATTATGGGTTGGACTGGATGGCCCTGGGGTCTCTTCCAACTCTAGGATACTATCTATCTATCTATCTATCTATCTATCTATCTATCTATCTATCTATCTATCTATTATGGGTTGGACTGGATGGCCCTTGGAGTCTCTTCCAACTCTAGGATACTATCTATCTATCTATCTATCTATCTATCTATCTATCTATCTATCTATCTCTATCTATCTATCTATCTATCTATCTATCTATCTATCTATCTATCTATCTATCTATTATGGGTTGGACTGGATGGCCCTGGGGTCTCCTCCAACTCTAGGATTCTATCTAGCTGTGGTTAGACAGGATGGCCATCAGTCGGGAAGGCTTCAGTTGTGCCTCCTCGCCTCCATCCCCCCCCCCCCCCCTTCCCCTTTCCCGGTGCCACTCTGCTGGCTGCCCACTTCTTCTCTATCAACAGGAAACATCTTTCCACCGTGCAGGAAGCGGCCCTTGTGTCATTGGACGTGACGGGGCTGGCCTCGTCCTATCGGGGCGTGGATATTTTGGGAGGCGTATATATATCTATATTTGTGTGCAATGGGGCAGAATTGTCACAGCTTCCCTGCCAGGCTTGAGAAGGCCTGTGGCTCCCTTGGCAGGCTCCCTCCAACAGTGGCATGCTGGAATCCCCCTTCCAGCCCTGATGCCGAAGGAGCAAGGTCTGCGGGAGAGTTTCACGGATTCCCAGACCTGGAAGAGACCCCCCCCCAGGGCTATCTAGTCCAGCCCACTTCAGCCAGGACACAATCCAACCCCTCCTGAGAGATGGCAATCCAGCCTCTGCTTCCAGAGAAGTAGACAATACCAGACTATCATTATTATTATCATTATTAAGCAAAGCCTAGATGGCCATCTGTTGGGAGGGCTTGGATGGCATCTTCCTGTCTGGCAGAAGGGGATTGGGACTGGGTAGTCCTTGGGGGTCTCTTCCAACTCTAGGATTCTATTATAACGATGAGGATGCAGAGGCTTGAGTGGCCATCTGTTGGGAGAGCTCGGATTGTGCTTTCCAGTTTGGCAGAAAGGGTTTTGACTAGATGGTCCTTGGGGCCTCTTTCTGACCTTGGAGGAATACAGACTGTCTGGGAGTCCTGTGGCGTCTCCTTCCCTGCAGGTTTTGAAGCAGAAGCTGGACATGGCCATCTGTCAGGAGGGATTGGATGGGGTCTTTCTACCTGACAGGATGGACTGGGTGGGGTCTTTCCCTAACTTTATGATTCTACTATCTTTCTGGGGTATTTGGCTAAAACTGGGGGTCAAGTGGCCCCAGATAGATAGATAGGATAGATGGACAGATAGTAGATAGGATGAATGGATAGACAGATAGATAGGATGGATGGATGTATAGACAGGATAGATAGGATAGATGGACAGATGGATATAGATAGATACATAGTAGATAGGATGGATGGACAGATGGATAGATAGATAGGATGGATAGATAGTAGATAAACAGACAGATAGTAGATAGAATGGATGGACAGATGGATGGCTTGATAGATAGGATGGACAGACAGAAAGAAAGATAGGATGGATGGACAAATGGATGGATGGATGGATGGATAGTAGACAGACAGATAGTAGGATGGATGGACAGACAGATAGATAGGGTGGACTGAGAGAAGGATAGGATGGATGGACAGATGGGATGGATGGATAGATAGTAGATAAACAGACAGATTGTAGAAAGGATGGATGGATAGATAGATCGTGGACAGACAGAAAGATAGGATGGATGGACAGATGGACAGACAGACAGACAGACAGATAGTAGACAGATAGTAGGATGAATGGACAGACGGATAGATAGGGTGGACAGACAGAAAGATAGGATGGATGGACAAATGGATAGATAGATGGGATGGATGGATGGATAGATAGATAGTAGACAGACAGATAGTAGGATGGATGGGCAGACTGATAGATAGGGTGGACAGACAGAAGGATAGGATGGATGGACAGATGGGATGGATGGATAGATAGTAGATAAACAGACAGATAGTAGAAAGGATGGATAGGTAGATAGACCGTAGACAGACAGAAAGATAGGATGGATGGACAGATGGACAGATAGATAGATAGATAGATAGATAGATAGATAGATAGATAGATAGATAGATAGATAGATAGAAGACAGATAGTAGGATGGATGGACAGATGGATAGATAGGGTGGACAGACAGAAAGATAGGATGGATGGACAAATGGATAGATAGATGGGATGGATGGATGGATAGATAGTAGACAGACAGATAGTAGGATGGGTGGACAGACGGATAGATAGGGTGGACAGACAGAAAGATACGACCGATGGACAGATGAATAGATAGATGGAATGGATGGATAGATAGATAGTAGATAAACAAACAGATAGTAGATAGGATGGATGGACAGACGGATAGATAGGGTGGACAGACAGAAAGATAGGATCGATGGACAGTTGGATGGATAGATGGGATAGATAGATAGATGATAAACAGACAGATAGTAGATTGGATGGATGGACAGACTGATAGATAGATAGATAGATAGATAGATAGATAGATAGATAGATAGATAGATAGGTAGGTAGGTAGGTAGCGGACAGACAGACAGATAGTAGGATGGATGGACAGATGGATAGATAGGGTGGACAGACAGAAAGATAGGATGGATGGACAGATGGATAGGTAGATGGCATGGATAAATAGATTGTAGATAAACAGACAGATAGAAAATAGGATGGATTGACACACACACAGACAGATAGATAGATAGATAGATAGATAGATAGATAGATAGATAGATAGGATGGACAGACAGAAAGATAGGATGGACAAACAGATAGATTGTAGACAGACAGATAGTAGATAGGATAGATGGACAGATAAATAGCATGGACAGATAGAAAGATAGGATGGACGGACAGACGGATAGATGATGGATGTAAATAGACAGATAAAATGATCAGATGGACAGACAGATAAATAGATGATGGATGTAAACAGATAAATAGATAAGATAGACAGATAGGATGTACAGACGGATAGACAGACAGACAGATAGAGAGAATGGGCGGATAGATAGATGGATAAATAAATAGATAAATAAATAAATAGGTTTTTATGTGCCACTACGCCTTTGGTCCTTCTTTTCTGATGTGACCTTCTGCCATCCCCTGGGTTCTGAAGAAACCCCACCCGTTTCCTCTGCTATCTCCGATCATCATTGCTGTTGTGTGTGTGTGTGTGCTTGTGCGGTCACAGTGCACATCAAACCTCAGCCGCAGCTCCTTATTTCTCAGAAACAAGGAGTGCCCGTTGGTGCACAAACACCTTGGCTGTGTGTGTATGTGTGTTTTTAAAGCAAATCAAAGACTGCAAGGAGCTCCGTTATCTCCCCCAACGATCAAGATGAGAGAGATACAGATGCTTTGCTTTGCATCTTGACGGTAAATGATGCCTCTTGCCTCTTTCAACCCGAGTTGGAAGAGACCCCCACAGGCCATGCAAACAGCCTGCCGCTTAGGATGCAGGAAAACTCCATCCAATCCCTCCCCACAGATGGTCATCCAGCCTGTTTCAAAAACTCCACCACATATCTCTGACATCTTAACGTTTTGATGGGATCTCTTTCCCTGCCTTAAGCAAGCTCAAGATATCATTAAGGATCCAGTTTCAACATCTGGCTTCTTACTGCTTGGGGGAATCCTTTGTTGGGAGATGATTAGCTGGCCCTGATCGTTTCTTGTCTGGAATTCCTGTTTTTGAGTGTTGTTCTTTATTTGCTGTTATTTTTAATATTTGCAGCCTCTCAACAAAGGATTTCCCCAGGCAGTAAGAAGCCAGACCTTGAAATTGAAAGGCCATTAAATGCTAATCAAGGTGGCCAATTGCAACAGTCAAACCGGCCTGAAGCAGACAAAAGTTCTTTCTCCCACCCTGGATATCGTTCCACAGGTATATAAACCTCACTTGCCTAGTTTCTAACAGAGCTCACAACCTCTGAGGATGCCTGCCATAGATGCAGGTGAAACGTCAGGAGAGAATGCTTCTGGAACCTGGCTATACAGCCCAAAAACCAGCAACCCACTATTATTATTATTATGTCCTAGAAACTTGGGAAGTGTCTGACGTGTGATCCAATACAACAGCCAGCCTATTGACCTTGTTTGCTGTGTACTAATCTTGTTGTGTTTCTAATAATAATAATAATAATAATAATAATAATAATAATAATAATAATGTTTATTATTATTATTGTTATTATTATTATGTCCTAGACACTTGGGAAGTGTCCGACGTGTGATTCAATACAACTGCCAGCATATTGACCTTGTTTGCTGTGTACTAATCTTGTTGTGTTTCTAATGATAATAATAATAATAATAATAATAATGTTTATTATTATTATTATTATTATTATTATTATTATTATTATTATTATTATTATGTCCTAGACACTTGGGAAGTGTCTGACGTGTGATCCAATACAACAGCCAGCATATTGACCTTGTTAGCTATGTACTAATCTTATTGTGTTTCTAATAATAATAATAATAATAATAATAATAATAATAATAATAATAATGTTTTTATTATATATTATATATTATAAATAATAATAATAATGTTTATTATTATTGTTATTGTTGTTGTTGTTGTTATTATTATTATTATTATTATTATTATTATTATTATTATTATTATTATTATGTCCTAGACACTTGGGAAGTGTCTGACGTGTGATCCAATACAACAGCCAGCATATTGACCTTATTTGCTGTGTACTAACCTTGTTGTGTTT